ATAAAGATCATTAAATGTGGGTTAGCTACTAGTTTAGTATTTATATTAGTTATTCGTTGATTAAGTTTATCAATTTGTATTTCTGGAGTGTGAGGTAATCAGAATGCTTGAAATATTGATTGGATTCTTATTTTGTGAAGGTCCCAGTCTTCTTCATTCACTTCTTTCAATTTTGTTATAATTTCAGTTTTGATGAGTTGATTTAATATTTGTCTTTTATTGTATTTCTATAATGATGATGGAGGCACATTATTACTAAAGTTTAATATGCCTTCTACTAATTGATGATCCGAATTTTCATATTTTGTAGTAATTGATTAACAGGTACTTATATAGTCTTCATGTACAAATATATAATCAAGCTTGGTTATCATTATATTACTATTATATACATTTTGTTGGAAAGTAAGAAAGAGATGTATTCCTATATGAGTAGCCATATCAATGAAGTTATATAATTTTGCTTCTAAGACTTGGTATGAAGAATCATTACATGGTGGTGTTTGGCTAATTCTATCTAATGTAATATTTAAATTTGTATTAAAATCTCCAGCTATTATATTTATCAAGTTAGGTTTAATTTTTGGAGACCAATTGTTAAAGAATTGTAATCTTTCTTGTATATGAGGTGGGTGTAAATGTTGGTTATATTGAACATTCTTTGTTTGACCTTGCATTGAGTTATTAAGACTCTACCTTCTTGTATTATTTCTGTATTAGTAAATTTTATGAGTTTATTTCCTGCCAATATTGCTATTTTATCTGTCTATATAGAATCGTAACTCCATTGTTGTTTGACAAAATCACACATTTTTTCATTTATAAGATTTGTTTCTTGAAGAAATATAATATCACATTTATAGGATTTTAGTAAAGTTAATGTTTGTTGTCTTTTTGATAAATTATTAAGCCCTTTTATATTAAGGGTAGCAATTTTTATTTTCTGATTAGTCATATTAATTAGATGTATTAGAAATGTTACTTGGTTTGGTTTAATTTTGTGTTTTGTTTCTGTTTATATAAAGGACAGAGTGATTATTGTTACGAACATTTCTATTATTACTTTTTTTATTTTTTCGTTTTTATTGCTCACTACTGTAAATGCTAACTTTTGTTGTATATTGTCTGTTGTATTATTAGCTATGATTGAGTTTTCTTGATTTTTTTTCTCTTGGAGTAGGGTATCGAGATCAGTCATATGGTTGTCAATATCACTAATATTCAGATCAGAAAATACTTCTTGTTGAATGTTTGTTGTGTTGTTTTGTGTTATTGGCTCTTTTTGAAGTAAGCTGATCTTCTCTTGAATCAGTTGTTCTTGTTCATTTTCATGATTATTTTCTAATATTTGTACTGAGATTGTGTTATTGTTGATATTGATATCTGTCGAATTATATAATTCTGAGTTTTCCAACAGAGTTGTTTTGTTTTTTTTATATATTTTATATTCCACCTTGAGTTTTTGTGCTTCTTTATATTGGTGACAGTCTCTTTTGATGTGACCTTCTGCATCACAAAAAAAGCAAAGTCTAGGTGTCTCTCTCTATTCTGTGATGATTTTTTGTCCATAATTGTTATGAATCTTGGGATTTGTTTGGTTATCTCAGGATCATCAGTAGTATCAAAAATCACTACCTATTGGTTACTTAATATTGAAGTGCTCTTAAAAACAAGCTGTTTAATTGAAGAAATTTTTCCTACATGTTCAAAGGTATCTTTAATTTCTTTTGTGATATCTTCTTGAAAATCAATTAGAATATTTTTAAGTTTGATTAAGAGATATGAGGTTCTGCTGTTAGTAGAAATATAGCTTAAGAAGGTTTGATTAAACAAGTTGATTCCTTCTATACTATATTTTTGTATATTCTTATTGGTTTTAAAGATAATTTCTAAGTGCGATCTGATTCCTTTTGTAAAATGTTGTTTTATTCCAAGAATATCTTTGCTAATATTTTTGTTTAGAACTACAACAATTTCATTTATAGATAAGTTACTAAGAGTACGAATTTCAAATATTGCTGCTCTATCATTCTTGGTGGTAATTTGATTATGTACTGA